AAAGAAAACTCCTTCGTCCCTTTATGTTCACTGAAGAATAATTTTACATCACCAGGGGTGAGAGCTGTGGTAGATCCATGCAGGAGTGGGACAGCCTGTGAACCCTGCTCTGAAACTTTTGATGGCCCTGACATTATCCCGTGAATACAACCGGGTTTGTTTCAAGCCCTTAACAGTATTTTTGATGCTTTGATTGGTTTTGGGCACTCCTTTTGGCCCCTCTGCTGCCAACCCAGGACACTGTTTCACTTAACCCCTTGGTGTGACCATTCCCACGCGCCCACCCGTGTGGGACCCCTCGTGTGCAGATTACCCTGTGAGAAACTGAGCAGGCGCTTCAGTCTTTTTGGAAATAAAAACTGGATCGGGTCAAACTCCCAGTTAGCCCACTGACCTGGCTCGGGAAGCTGGGAAACATGCGGAGCACGGGGAGTCCCGCAGCCTTTCCCACTCCACGTCGCGCTGCCGTGCAACACTAGATGGCGTGGGGACCCACGGCACCGCTCCGCCGCTGTCCCGGCCCCGCAGCCGGGGCCCTAAACCGAAAACTTTTGCTCTCCTGCACCCCTAAGCCTGTCGGCTGCTGCTGGGGAGATGGGGAGGCTGCGGCAAGCAGAAGGGAATGGACAGTCGAAGCCAGTCCTGTGGCGCACAGTCCGAGAGAGGCACAGCGGCCGGGTGGGGAAGACACTGATAGGTGAGATGTGGCAAATTTTGGACCCTCAACATCCCCCGAAAGATTAGAGTGTCCCTCTATCAGATGGCACAGCATCCCACCATCCGTGCCAGGGAGGGGACAGGCCTGGGCCGTGCTCACTCCCTGTGGATGGGTTATGTACTTCACAAGCCTGATCTCCTCCTCCAGCCCCCTCCAGAAACACTCAGAGCAAAGCCCAGAGCTGGGATTTGCAGCAGTGGACACTGAACTGTTCCCTGCTCTCCAGAAGAGATGTGGCCAGGCTGGAGAGGGTCCAGAGGAGGGCCACAAAGGTGATCAGGGAACTGGGAAGCCACAAACATGATCAAGGGACTGGGAAGCTACAGAGATGATCAGGGGACTGGGAAGTCCTGGCTTGTGTCAGCACTGGCGTGGCCAGCAGGGACAGGGAAGGGATCTGAGCCCTGTGCTGGGCACTGGGGAGGCCGCCCCTCGATGAGTGGGTTCAGTTTTGGGCCCCTCACCCCAAAAAGGCCATTGAGTGACCCGAGCGTGTCCAGAGAAGGGCAACGGAGCTGGGGCAGGGTCTGGAGCACAGGTCTGCTGGGGAGCGGCTGGGGGAACTGGGGGGGTTTAGTCTGGAGAAGAGGAGGCTGAGGGGAGACCTCCTGGCCCTCTGCAACTCCCTGCCAGGAGGGGGCAGAGAGGGGGGATGAGTCTCTGGAGCCAAGGAGCCAGCGCCAGGCCCCGAGGGAATGGCCTCAAGCTGCCCAGGGCAGGGTCAGGCTGGCTCTGAGGAAGGATTTCTGTGCAGAAGGGGCTGTTGGGCGTTGGAATGGGCTGCCCAGGGCAGGGGGGAGTCCCCATCCCTGGAGGGGTTGAAGAGTTGGGCTGACCCAGCCTGAGGGATCCTGTGGAGTTGGGAACTATCATTGTTATGTTAATGGTTGAACTGGATGATCTTCAAGGTCTTCTTCCAACCAAGTAGATTCTGTGATTCTGTGAAGCCTGCTGTATGAGGAAAGGCTGAGAGAATTGGGTTTGTTCAGCCTGAGAAGAGAAGGCTTAGAGGAGACCTTATCACCGTGCTCCAGTTTAAAGGGTGGCTACAAAGAAGATGGAGACTCCCTTTTTACAAGGAGTTACATGGAAAAGATGAGGGGTGATGGGTACAAGTTATTCCTGGGGAGATTCTGATTGGACACAGGAGGAAAATGATTTACAGTGAGAACAATCAGCCACTGGAATAATCTCCCTAGTGGTGGGAAGTGTTTGTATTCCCCAACACTGGACACTTTTAAGATTCATCTGGACAAGGTGCTGGGCCATCTTGTCTATAGCGTGCTTCTGCCAGAATGGTTGGAATCCCTGAGGTCCCTTCCAAGCGGGTGTTCTATGATTCTATGAATTTTGGCATGCAGGGACCTTTTCTGAAGCTGTCAGTCAGCTTTTAATACACCCACTCCATCTCCTCTGGAGATAAGGGGTGTGGGAGCCTCTGAAACCTGACAGCCCCTGCCTCAGACCTGTGGGAAGCCAACTGGTGGGGGCAGGTCCCTCTAAGTCTGCCAGAGGCTGGCATTTACAGCACCAGCTCAAGTGCCCTGTGTTAGACACAGCCTGAGTCATCTGGCAGAGGTTTCCCAACCTCCAGGGGAAAGGCTGCTCATCCCTGCATGCTGTGGCGATGGCAGCCCTGGGGTATGTCTCTAACACTCTGCAAGGTCTTGGGGAACCCTGTGGAGGGTCTGTGGCCATCATGGCCAACTTCAGTGGGTGATGTCAAGGGGCTCATGTCACCGTCCTCTTCAGAGGTGCCAATGTGCATCGTGGCAACTGGTAATGCCCCACTCAGTAATATGGCTACACCCCATTAACTAAGACTCACATGTTCCCTTCAGTGGGGCCCTGAATACTGGTTAATATGTTCCTTATGCCACCCATTCCTAATGTCACCAGCTGATGAGGTGACCTGCTGTGCTCTGAGCTGTTGGATGAGCCGTGCCCAACAAGACTGGGTCATTCAGGTCACCTCTGCTCTGCTGTCCATGCTTGGTCAGGGGCTGGTTCCCCCAGCAAGCGCTGGCCATTTATGCCTGCTGTGCGCATATGGCATGGCAGAGTGGCTCCTCTCCCACTTGCAAGACAAAGGCATCCTGGTTCTCTGTGACAAAAGCCTGCCCTGCACACAGGACGTGAGCAGCATGACCCCTTCCTGTGTTCCAGGCCTTGGTTCAGCACCAGGAATTTCTTATCCAGAGTTATGGGCAAAATTACTGTTGAATCTAATGCCAAAGTTTTCTAGGTCCAAAGGAAGCACCTCCCTGCCGCTGCCCTTCCAGCCCTCCTCCCTTCCTTCCAGTTTCAGCAATGCACTCCCAGCAGCCGGAGCAGCCTGGGCTCCTCAGTGCTCCTGCACACAGGCTGCCTGCCCTAGGAGCCGCTGGGGCTCAGGAGAGGAGCATAAGTGAAAGGGGTCCCATGAGCCCCAGAGAGCAGTAGAGAGCCTCTGAGTGCCAGATGCCTTTTTTCTTTAATGCCTACTTGCATTTTTCAAGTAGAAAAAGGCCAGCCGAGGCAAGAGAAATTACATAGAAGCTTTTCCTAACTGCATCTTGGCCTGTCTTGACAATCCTGTCCATGGACACAGCAATTGGGAGCACTGGAACATCCAGCTTCTCTCCGTCCTCATCTACTGATGAGGGCTGAAAGATCCTCATGGAGCACAGATGCCTCAGGGACACCCAGGGCAGGGGCTCAGGGTGGAAAACAGCTACAGACACCAGCAAAACTGTGCCTTTCTCCTGGCTTCCCCTCCCAGACCTCCCTGTGGAGCTTTTCCTGGAAGGGGCTGCCTTTTGCTGGCCTCCAAGTCCAGGTGATGGAGCATTTATGGACTGACTCTTCTTTGAATCTTCCAGGACACCAAAAAAGCCTGAGAAAGGGAAGATCCTTTCTCTGTCTAGTGCCACCTGGTTCCTGTTCCCTGTGTGGAGTTTGCTGAGGATCGGGGAGTGTGTCCTGCTCTCCTGTTACAGCCACGGGCAGAGGAGGAATGCCTGCAGATCCAAGTGGGCATTTGCCAGAGGGATGGAGAGTGGGAGTTTGTACCCCAGCAAAGTGAGAATCAGGCAGGGACAGGATCACAAGGGAATGTCCAGACACAAACTGGGACTGCAGAGTCCTGCCTGGGGGTCTGAGCATGCAGCAGCCATCAGTGTCTGACAGACAGTTAGGTGCTGTGTCACACTGCAGGGCTTGCATGTGGACTGCCCTTGGCTTTTCATGGTGGAAACAGCGTTACCTGGAGCCTCAGCATGGTTTTTATAAGGTTCTGGGCCTTCTCGGACTCCTGTGTTGCCCTGGCATAGAAACACACAGGGGAAAAATGGAAATAGCAGCTTTGTAGCCCAGCAGCCACATTTGTAGCCCTGTGGCACACTCCCTGTAGGCTGCTCGTGGGACGTTAGGGCACAGAGGACACTTGTATGTGGTGTGAGGGTACGGCAGGGTCAGTGGGACGTCAGGGAGGTGGAGGCAGGACCTCTGCTCCTGCAGACTCCGAGGTTACACAGCAACTGTAGTGCTTTGACCTTTCCACTGCCCTGAGCCCTCCCTTCGCAGCTCCGTGACCTGCCATCCAGCTGCCATCCAGCTGCCATCCAGATGTGCTGGAGGCGTTTTCCCACCGTCCCTGCTACAGCTGTTCCCTTACAGTTTTGTCCCCGTGTCCCTGCACCCACGATAGCACCGTGGTGGTGGGTTCCCACGCAAAGCCGTTGCCAGAGTAGCTCCTGGCCGCCCTGTTCTCCACACAACTTTTATTTGATTTTAGAGGAAAACGTTGACCTTAACAAAACACCGACTTAAACATCTGATGGCACATACGCTTGGCAACCAGCCCGCAGGTTTCAGGGAGCCGTCGCGGCTGAGCCCCGCAGGATTCATTCCCCCGTGGGAGCGGGATGCGGTGGGATTCCCCCCGGCGTGGGGCCGGGGCAGCGCCGTGGCTCTCGCGGCTGACCCGGAGGGGGACGACGGCGGGGCCATGCCGGGGC